GTCCCACCATACACTGGTTTCTCAACACAAGGAACAGCATTGCATGCTAAGAAAGACCTGGACTCTTTTGGGCTCATTATTTTTTTTAAACATAAGCAAATACCCAAATCCAGGGCTTGTGGTTAATATAGAGCTTGTAGGAGTGAAGTTCATTTTTCCTAGAGTTATCTTAGTTATGGAAGAACTTCAAGAGTCCTTTCTACAGCTTCCTTGAATTTGTCATTGAAGGTTTCCTGAATTATGCTTGCAAACCTCCTTAAATCAGATCACAGATGGACCACAAATGCCATGTTATTGAAAGACACAGCTTACTTTCTGGGGAATAACACACTGCAGCAAGATGATACAGAACAACTAGGATGATTTTTGTTTTGTCTTCTTTTAACCATGTTTCCTTCAAAGCTTCCATCCACAACATAACATTCACCCACCCCCGTAACTAATTCATTATTTTACAGCAAGTAAAATCAAACAGGAGACAAATGACTGTTGTTTAGTGCCATTAGTTTCAATGGCTTTACACAATATTTGAGTCATTGGCTCGCCTCTTGCTTTGGAGGCATCCCAAATCTGGATGAATCTACACACGCATTATAAACCATCCACGGGGCCAGGCCAGGCCTGCCTAGCAGATGGAGGTCCATATGCTTTGGCTCTGCACCCATATGGAACACTAATATGCAGTCCAGGAACAGAGCATGCCTCTTCTCCTCTTTTCTGGCAATCTCAAATCCAAAGTCATTTTCAGGCAGGAGCAGAGTTAGGCAAGTTCATATGGAACCTGTACAGCAAGATGCTACAAGACTGATGGTCCAAGCACAATATTCCCCTTGCTCTGTGGTTCCTCTGAAGCCTAAATTGCACAATTCTCTAGAAAGCAGTGTCAGGCTTTCCAGAGAGCTAGTTAAAAACCCCATTACATCCCTACAATGTGCTTTAACCTTTGCTGCCTGGATTGTGCAAGAACATGGAATGCTTCGTCTGCCCTTGCTGGAGATGATCCCTGGAGCAACCAAACCAGCAAATAGCTGTGGATGTTGCACAACGCCTGGGAGGTTTTGTTTGCTGGAGGCACAGGATTAGTATCAGATGGCCTGCCACCATCTCAGCATAGAGAGACTTAACTTTAATTGCTGGCTGCACTCCTCCAGCAGTGCTGGCAGGTTTGTTCTGGCACTTTGAGGGGGGGATAACACCCCAGCTGCTTTTTGGCATTGTCCTGGTGCCTAATCCTTGCTCAAACTCTGTGCTTTTCTCATCAAAACAGTGCAACAGATACAGCTCACCTCTGTTTTGAGCATGTGAGCAGTACATTCAGTGCTTGCACTGTGCAGTCTTAAGGAAGGTTGGTATCTCCTTCAAGGTGACATCTCCTCAGCCATCCCTGGCATATACCCTCCTCTTGTCCCGTTCCTTTTTTAAGGTGTTGGAGATAGCTGCTGCTGGCTGAGTGCTGAGGATTCTTACGCTAACCAAGGAGATATTTCCATCCAGGAAATGTTACTTCATGTTTGCTCTCAGCTCATGCACAAGGTCATGAGAGCATCACAGTGGGAAGGGTTGGTGGGTGCTGATTGCACTTCTTGTAAAAGTGCTTGTAGATTTGCTTGGAGATGATGTTAAGCAGCTAAATGCATCTGCCTTCAGCTGGATTGTAAATGTAATTGGCACGTGATGGCTTTGCTCTTGCATCAGGAAAGGTTTGATGGAGCTGAACAGGAGTTATTTCCAGCTGGAAAAGGAGCTTATTATGGAAAAGGAATGCCTTGACATTGCTAATACTAGGAGAAAAGTCCATCCACTTGGTAGTATGATTTCTTTTGGTTATCATTCAGGCCTCTCTCCAAGGTCTTTCTCAGTCATTTCTTTATACACATGGGTGATGTGCAACTGTCTGGGGGCAGAAACAAGACAGGTAGTCCATTCCCTCTCCAAACTGGAGCTTAAGCTGGGAATGCTGCAGTATCCACAGTGATGAGATGACCCAACACAGAGTTTGGATACAAGTCATCCTATGATGATACTGGAGTCGCAGAGGAGACTTGCCAGCTTGTAGGTTATTATATATTTATTGTTATCATAGGAAAAAAATAAGATTAAATAGAGGTGAATAAAAGGAAACCTAGAAAGCGTTTGATGTAGTCAAAAGGGGGACCCCAAAGTGAAATTCTGCTGTCTGATGCCAAAGGCACTACGGTAACATTTAGAGCTGAAAATGGGTGTTAATAAACCATTTATAAATGTGAGAAGTCTAAAAAGGAAAGCAACTAAAACACTGAGAGAGCTGAGAAATGTGTGGTTTAACAAAGCATTCCCCTGGAGACCATGGTTGTGAGCCTGGTTTTACCTCCTGACATTGTGGGGCACTCTAGAGTAAAACCACTTCCCTGCCATCCCCTGTGGGTCTCTCAAAGCTTTAAGCTTTAATTTCCATAGTTTCAAGCCTCTCTAGCATGAAATAGGATCCTTTAAATCTTTAAAAGGACCGGTGGTCAAAAAATAACATCTACATCTCAAGATGGCTTAACCTTTCTTAGACTGTTTTGCACAAAATTAAAACCAAATTCCATTGGGATCAACTGAAACCATTTGTGTCCTTTAAGCGAGACTGCGATGTCCACAGTATTCAGTGTTATTCCCAAGCAGTATCCAAACTGCAATGTAAAAATGCAAACAATTTTCATTACACCTTCAAAACAAAATGTTGTGTCTTCCTGGTTTGCAAGGCTGGTGTCTTAAAGAATAAAAAAAGAAGATGATTCAGTAGTCTCTTGGCATTAAACTAAAACCCCCTCAGGCAGCTTGAAATAAATGAGAAAAAGAAGTAATTTGATTCACAACAGCTATTTGCACTTTGTTCACTTATTATCTGGGCTGTGACTGAAGCAGAGGATTGGTTATTGACCCTGCACCAAGCCTTGCCTGATGAAGCGTTGAGGGGAAGGTGATTGTCCCTCCTCCATCCCATCATCCATCATTCAGTAGCTTGGGAGGGAAGCGGTTGCTCTGCCAGCCCTGCCTGGACAAGGGGCTGTGGATGCAGGAGGCAGCCGGGGTCCTGCACCACCGCTCAGAGGAGCTGCTGCAACTCACCCAAGTCAGCTTTATATAAGGCAGAACAAGCATTAGTTATAAGTGATCTTGGCAGCACAAAGCCTGCAGACTCTGCAGCTTGACCAGAGGAACCATACTCTGTGCCAGTGCAAGATAAAGGCAAGATCTCCCCCAGGAGAGAAACAGCCATGTCACTGTAGATATATGGATACTGTTATAGGAAGAACAAAACTGCTGTGCTGTTGCATTCCTCCTCTGCACGGCTCCGCAGCACACGCACGGAGCAATGAGCACGGAATGAGCTGAATTAAACTTCTTGTCTGAATGATCCTTGTTCAGCCTGGGCAGGTCTGTAATGACAGGTGCATTCAGCAGGCACCAAAATCACTGGAGTAATCCAGGGGAGAGGAAAACAGGAGTGAGCAGCCCAACAGCATTTGTGAGCGCAGTGGATTCATGGCAGGGCTGGCTGTTAGCCTGGGGACACAAAGAAGCATGTGGCAGATCTGAAGGCTGGGATGTAAGCAGGCAGACCATGGTTAAAAAGCAGAGCAGACCAGGCAGCTGTCCTTCTGGCCACGGTGCGGCTGTGCTGGAAGATAAGAATCCTATCCCCAAGCTGTTGTAAAAAGAAAATGCACCAGAGGCACATGGTGAGGAAAAGGATGGGTTTAGCCAGAATCATCCATTAGACTATTACCGCCCAAAACCACACTGGGAAACACAGCCTCAAACTCTGAGCTTAGTCAGGTAGAGACTCAAGTTTACCTCCATTTTACAAGTTTAGGTCACTTGTCACCATCTGAAAGCCTTTTGGCACAAATATGCCTAACATATGGGATGGAGCTCCCCACCTCAGAGCCACCAGCATCACCAGTTTGGGCTGCCCTCACTGCTGGAGGGAACAGCAGGATGGAGGAGCAAAGACCAAAGGGAGCTACTGCTGTTGTTTAGAGCAGTTAAATACATTCATGGTGCAACACATGCATCCCCGCTTGAATAGCATCAATACTCTTTTTGTTTCACTCCTGATGACAGGAGAGTCTTAATTGGGCATGAAGAAACTCATCAAGCAGCAGCCTGGTGTGGCATCAGGTCCCCATAGCATCTGGCAGGCACCGTGCTGCTGCCCTGTGGCTGATCAACTGCTGGTGCCTGCCCCAAAGTAGCCCAAATATCATCCACCTACCACCAGCACTGCTGCTCCCTGTGCAGAGCAGAAGGTGGACCTGAAACTCTGCTCCTGCTGCTCCATGGGCTTTACAGCTTGTCGAGTTGCAGGGGTTTGGGTTTGGTGGAGCCAGGTCCCAGCTATTTTCTGGAAATAGAAATGATAAAGTGCATTTCCTACCTGAGGAACTGCTCAGAGAACCAGACCGGAGGACTTAACACAGCTCACTAAAGCAAGGAGAAATTTCTAGATGTTTCTCTGCATATAAACTCAGCAGGGACCAACCTGCATGGCCGTGAAGTGAAATGGGAGCTCAGCCATTGATTTCAAAAGCTGCAGGGTCTTGGCTCTCAGTTTAATGTATTTTTAAAGCAGGGGTGAGCAGGACCCGCTCTGGAAAGAGAAACATCACCAGCAATTTCATCTCCCTGAATAATTTGCCTCTATCTTGCCTGTGCTTTGATCCAGCAGCTGCTTCAAGGGCACTAGAACATTCCTTCTCCCATCCCTTTTTCACCCCACTTGTGCTGCTGTTGGATTCAGCTCAGTCCTCTTTGTAGGCACAGGGAAGACATCCTGGTGGCTTTGGATGACCCCTGGCAGAGCACTGACATCCACCCCAGAAGGGCAAATAAGCGCAGCCTTCCCCTTTCCTTCACTGGCAAAGGAGGTTTCAGGGTCTCTCCTTTGATCTCATGGCATTTTCTGGTCCTGCCCCTCTTCTCACCCTTCTGGTCCATAAAAATAAATACAAAACAAACATAAACCCCTGCACTTTTATTTCATTTCTTGTATTTTTATTTAAAAAGAAGGTTTGCTAACAGCAATCAGTACCGTGCCCAGGCCCCTCAATACAACAGTTGGCTTTAGCAGTCCCTCCTCTGTGCAAGGGACAAACCAGGGAATTATCCAGCTTTAACAACCACTCCCGAATCATGGGAAGCTCCTTGGGATTGCAGAACTACTTCCACCTTGCAGTTTTACTCTGTCTCCTTCTGTCTCAGGACACCCCTACAGCTTATGCTGAGGTTCACAGCCGGGTTGAGCTTTATCATGTAATGAAACTCAAGCAAAAAAGATACTTAAAAAAGTGCCAGGTTTTAGGAAAATACATAAAAGAAATCACTTTCTGGAGTTGGAAAGAAACATCCCCTCGGTGGCAGATTAGCCCACATTTATCCACTATAATGTTGCTTATACCTTAATCTTAGGCATCTTCATCTGACACTAATTAGCAGGCTGGAGGCTCCTACGGGTACAGTAGCTTCTACATCCCAAAACATGAAAGTGAGCTCTTCCTTTTACCACTTGAAGCACTCCGTTTTTTAAAGAGGCAATGTCAAGTATTTCAGCCCCAAACTGTATGCTTTTTAACCTACAAAACACAGCTGGAGGAGGAGGCACAAAGGTGGTGGTACCCAGCCAGGAAAGCACCGCAGCATGCATCTGAGGCTTGCCTGTGTAGTGTTATTTATTCTCCTGCACATTAAACCCAAACTGCATTCACTGAACCCTGGACTCACCTGCATCCTGGCACTGAGTGCTAATTAGGAGATAAATAGAGCGGGCTACAGAAGCAGAAAATTAAACAGGCTAATCAGATCAATCTAGTTACTTCTCCAAAAACCCTCCAAACCTAGCAAAAAGCAAATGTGGTTATAAAAGCTCCTTTATATTTTGGAATATATATTCCAAATATATATATTCTGATATATATTTGGAATATATTCCTTTATAATGGGAAAAGATTATTTCCTTGACATGCATCACTAGGCAAGCATCCCACCAAGGTCCATCTGACATCTGATTTAACTGTTCAGAGTAAGAGCTAATCAAAGCTTGACAGAAAGGTCAGAGCAGGACTTCGGGAGTGCAGCGCTGTGTGCTGGTTCTTGGTGGGGAAAGAGAATAAAGTATTTAGAGTTGACAAAGTCTCTTGAAGTCCGGTGGTCTTTCTGCTTGGCTGGGTCTCAGGCCTATCACCAATACTTCAGTGGTTGTTTCCGGAGCGGCAGAGAAGGCAGGATGCTTAGCAGGTAGCATTTGGGAATTAAGAGCTAGATGCACTTATGGTTTTCACGAGCCCTGACAGATGTTGAGTGTCTTCGACTGTGGCACAGTAAGACACTTAATACTAATGGTGCCAGTTTGCAGCAGCGAACCTCCTCTCTGCCAGGTTCCAGCATCTTGGCTCCTTTCTAAATTACTCCTTAGGAAAGGAAGAGGAAAATACGTGCTCAGCATCCTTGTCGCCATCTGCCTTGCTCAATGCCAATGTGCCCGTTCTCCAGAGGCCCTCACATCTCCTCTCTGAGCAAATATCACTAGGATCAGCTTAGCACTGTTCCCCACCACCTCCTGAAGATCAAGCTGCAGCCCTGGAGGCTTCACCCTCACCTCTCTGGAGGCTGTGCTCAGCCTGGTGGTCCATGTTTTGGATGGAACTGTGCACCGCTGCCAGACATGATCCCTGCTGGGCAGGATACAGCTCCTGCTTGGTTCCATGGGCAGTCCCTTGGCTTTGAGAGCCACCAACAAACCTTCCCTGCCCACCCCGCTCCCTGCCCCTTCCCCTCCCCGCCACAAGCACGGGGCCAAGAACGCGCCTTGCTGCATAGCGCCGGCATCCTTGGCCAAACAAACTAACTACCAACCTTGGACCAGTCACGACAAACGGCTTAACGTTTACCCATCACCTAACATACCCTCAAAAACCAAGGCCACCTTCACACCTTTCGGACGTAGGGCGAGCCCAGCAAGCCCATGGCAAGGGGTCTCACCCAGGCCAGTCAAGCCAGATGCTCCAGCATCTCTCCTGCCCCTTCCTTGGTGAACACCAAACAGTTATAATACTCAGGTCAATATATATAGGTACCACGTATATATATTTGTGTCGCTGTTCTGCGCATTGACAAAGACAACCAACCCCACCAGGCACCACTTGTCCTTTCTGCCCCCTCCCCTTCTTCCCATGGCTGTGCAGGAACGTGGCCGGGGACCACCCTACGTGGCCCCATCACACTCCCCCACAGTCAGCTTCAAGGCTCCCTGCTGGTGCAGCGTCTTTAAGGCTTTGAACTCCAAGGGCATGGTGTGCGGGCTGGCCTGCGAGGTGTAGCCGTACTTCAGGCTGTCGTAGTAGTGGTACTTGACAGGGTTCTGGTTCTGGTCCAGGGGGAAGGGCCAGAAGCCATAGAGATAGATCTGGTTGCAGAAGCGAGTGGCTAAGGTGTACATGAGGAGGCCGGTGGTGGGTCGCTTGATATGCACCTTGTTGGTTAGCCAGTACCTGCAAAGGGAGAGTAAAGCGTGTTATTCCTCCTGCACTTGCATTTTATCCTTCCAGCCTCTGACTGAGATATATTGGTGATTCAAAGCGAGAGGTTGCTGACTTGCAGAAGAGTTCTCCATGCCAAGAAAAAGCCTCCCCAGGGATTGCTTCATGAATAAGCATCCTCCTGCTCTCTGTCTTGCAGTTACATCACACGTGTTGCTATGGCATTGAAGCATCTCATGCCTCGGCAATCCTTTATGAAAAACAAATTGCTTGCAACAGTGGCCTTCACTACTTCAGCCTACAATTATCTCCCAATCAACCCAGGAGATCAATATCCCAGACCAAACCATCCACACGTCAAGTAGACTCCATCAACCCCTCGAAGCAGACACACTCATACATACATACTGATGATTTTCATTGATGAATGAAGATTTTTACTCTGACAGTAAACACAACAGGGCTGTAAAATCATTTGTCTTGGAATAAAGGGTCACCAAGCTGAAAGAGCTAAAACACACTGCTATGTTCCCATTAACCCAGTGATTGCTGCTGTGATCCTGGACCAAAACACATCACCACACTGTGCAACATCAGTTCATGAGACACACAGTATGGAATACTGCAGTATATAATATGTAATACAGCGGTCAGCTGTGCTCTCTGCTGAGAAGTGGGTTAGTTTTTATGAGGAGAAGGACATAGCGATGCACGAGCATCAGCAGTTGTATTTTGGGCTGCTGCTAAAAGTTACTGCAGCATCAACATCCTGTAAGAAGATGTTCCATCACCCAGCGTTTATTGCACTGGCAACTTACGTGGTTTGCTCAGCAGAAAAACACTGTCAGAGGAGCAAAATCAGAAAGAAAAAGGTAGATGTCCGCTTCAGGGTCCACTCCTTCTCCCCCAGCAAGCCCAGTGCTGATGCTGCCCCACAGCAGGCAGGGCTAATGCAGGCAGCACATCCCATTGCTGCCCGTTCATACCCATGGATTATCTTTAATAGATACTTCAAAGGGCCTGCGTTTAGATTCAGCCTACAATTATCTTGTAATCAACCCAGGAGATCAATATCACAGACCAAGCCACTGCAGCACTTTGGATAACAGGTGAGGAAGTGGAGGGGAGCATGTGTCATTTCTGTGCTTTTTCCAGAGGCTTGGGATGCTGAACAGGGATGGGGAGCCATGGAAAGTGTTGCTCCTCATTCGCACTTTCTGTTGGGCTACTGAGGTTCTGGTGCTCAGACAGCAGGAACCCTTCGGAGAGCTGAGCCTTAATCCTGCAAATTAGCTTTTCACGAAAGCCATTAAAATTTAGCAACCAAGGCACAAAATGTACTTGCTTGCTCTCAGCCAGATAACAGAAAAATTGACTTTTCTGGGAAATCAAATTCTAGAAGCAGAGTGACCGCCTGGTTTATCATGGTCCCAAATCCCAAGGGTTTGGGGTCAAAGTGCCTGCAGCTTTAGCAAAGGATGAGTATGATGTTTTGGGAAGGAGGTCTCCATGCCTAACTTATCTTGGTATCCAGCACGTAAAAGGAGCAAGAAACAGGGAAAACCAGTATCTCGTTGGCACAGCATCAGCATTTTCTAGGCTTGCCCAGCCGTATGTGTTGTGCTGTAGGGACACAGCAAAGCTCACTGTGGTGTCAAGGCAACCTTCTCCCACAGGTAGCCATAAAACAGCCTCCTTGATGAGTTTATGGGTAAGTACATTAGACCCCTGGTGTGCGGAGAGAAATGGGAGATTATCACAACCATTTAACACTGTGAATTAGGGTATCCCCATGCAGCAGGGAAACAGCCTGGGAAGAACTGTCAAGCCACATTATCTGGCTGGTTTTGGGGGGAGACAACTGCCTGGGCTTGTCTTGCAGCTGCTTCAGCCTTAAATTGTCCTTTTATCAATTTACCAGCTGGAGCATAGGCAGATACTGGTGACCTTAATCCTGCCCAAAGTACTGACTTCTGGGTTTTGCCAAGAGGCTGTAAAAACTCTATGAACACACGATGACCTTAACAGCACGATGAAGTGACCCTTGCAAATGAGTACAGGACACTCATGTGACCATCAATTTTTCAAGTGTATTAATGATGACAAAAAACGACCTGGATCAAACACAGAAGTGCCCTACAGAAGCACACTGTCCTCTGCTATCCAGCCTTACCAAGACCAGCTAAGCATGTGCAACTGGTACCCAAAAGCAGCCCTACCAACACTGACCCAGTGTATCCACCTCAGCACACGCAGCTAGTGAGTATTCACTCAGTAATTCTGGGGTGGGAACAATTAAAATTCAGTTTCTTATAACACAAAGTAAAAAAAACCTGGCTTTTTTATCTGTATTTCGCTCTATTGCAGGCATGGTATTGTGAAAATGAGAAGGATGATAAACCTTGCTCCTACAACATCATAAATTCTCACTGCTGGCTGCAGCTTTGGGAGGGGGTGATGTACTCCAGGCTGTCCCAGCCCACACACACAGATGACATACATAATATATACTGCCCAAACCATAACACAGGTCATGCCACAGCACTTGCAATTTGTTTCCTGCACAGCGAAGGTGGGAAATCCTCTGGTGAGGTCTGGGGAATACTGTTTTAAATGACTGGATCGTGATAGGAGTGTGGGAGCTCTGCAGGAAGATCTCCTTCTTTCCTCTCCCACCACTGGCCAACTGAGACAGTGGCTACGTTCCTGGTGCAGGAAAGAACAGCTGGGGATGGAAATAAAACCTAATTAATTCTGTAAATCCAAATGAGGTTGTCTGGGCACACATGGGATGCTGTGTCAACAGCACACCTTTAATATGTGAGGTCCGGGATTTTAATTAGGAGGAAAGATAATCTTGAAGCAGACAGTAATTATTTTTCAAATTGGCTACACCAATCACCATAACTATTAACTGCATCACTTTATGGAAACAGGCAGCAATTAAAAGAGAAGAGCAAAGAGCAGTCCTCAAACCCAATCCCTCCTTTCTCAGAGCCATTCTCACAGCGTGGACCTCCTTCAAAAGCTGGTGCTGTGTTGTTGCTGCAAATAAACCCTCAGGGGTGGAAGCAGCCACAGAGATAGGCTGGTGCCTGAGTGGGATGCAGCTATGAACAAGAATTGTGATGCTGTCAGGCAAAAATTGTCCAAGACAGCTCTTGGTTTGGATCATGATAGTGACAGATAGAAAATGTCATCAGATGTTCAAGGCTATCTTTTGTGAGAAGGCAGCCTACACATAAGCTGTAGTACCTATCTGAACTAATACATGATGGTAGCCAAGGACAGAGGCTTCAGGAAGGAAAGCTCAGTCTTGTCCTGATCAGTATGTGGCTCTGGTTGCTGCTCAATGACATCAATTTTCCAACAGGTTTCCAAGAAGCTTAAGAACACTCCTAAGCAGAACTGCACTGCATTGCTACCGCCTGCCCGACCACCAGCATAAGCCTCCTGCGAGGCGACCACTGCATTTGGACCTTAAAGCCCAGTGGGAACCCTTTAGGAGACAACTGCAGGAGACAAACCACTCTGAAACCGCCCCTAGGAAGCTTCAGCTCACACTGAAGGTGGCAACTTCCACATCGCACATCTGGAGCACACACCCCACCGCACTGACAGCACAAGGGCTTGTAGTGACAGGACAAGGGGAATGGCTTTAAGCTGACAGAGGAGAGATTTAGACTAGACACTAGGAAAATTCTTCCCTGTGAGGGTGCTGAGGCGCTGGCACAGGGTGCCCAGAGAAGCTGTGGCTGCCCCATCCCTGGCAGTGTTTAAGGCCAGGTTGGACACAGGGGCTTGGAGCAAGCTGTTCCAATGGAAGGTGTCCCTGCCCATGGCAGGGGTTGGAACTGGATGAGCTTTAAGATCTCTTCCAACCCAAACAATGCAATGAATTCAGGGAGCAGACTCTGGCCTTGATATGGGCTGAAACACCAGGTAAAAAACTTGCCCTCAAAGGCAGTGTTTGAGGACCACGAGTGAGGGCAGAGTATGAGGAAAACCTGACGCAATTTGTACCCTCCAGGTAAGGGTTAAAACCTGCAGGATAAAGTAAACAGAAAATCCATTGCCCTGATGAATAAAAACCTCAGGTCAATGAAGAAATCAAGTTTCAGCAGTATCAGCTGCATTATCTAATGATACAAATCAGAATAGCTGAAATAATGCAACTTCAGGCCCTTTTAAACCAGCTTATTCATAAAAGCATGATACAAACACAAGCTGTTGTGGAGATGCTAGTCCTTGACTGTCAGGAGCATATTATTAGTCTGCTACACACATCCTGCTCCCATTAGTACTCATGAAAAACCAGCTACAGATAATCAGAGCAAGTGCCCCCACAGTGCCCCGTGCTCAGGTTGGTGCAGGAGAGGACAGGACCACCAGTGCTCGAAGGGCACAGCATGTATCCCAGTTACTGGGTGGAGCAATTGCTATCCCCCATCCAGCTTCTTCCAGCCTTTTCCTGTCCATGTATCCAGTCTCCTCTGTCACCTTCACCAAAATAGCCAAGAGCCATGTACATTGATGAGATCTGTGCTGGACAGGTAGGGTTGTGCACGTCCACATCCGGATTCATGCTAATGCTAACTCCAAAAGCTGCATCTGGAGTCAGAGTTGAGCTTTATCCCCAGGCAGAGCAAAGCCCAAACACCAAATCAGGCCTATATATGCACAGACTTGGCTTGGGTCTGGTTTCCCACCTGAGCATAGGACCATTGTCCTTAAACCATCTGTGGGACCAGAGAGGAAGGGCTTTTAAGGCACAAGTCCCCAGGGCAGATATTTCAGAGGAGCCCTGTAAGCCTGAAGCACCATAAGGGAAGAAGCGTGAAGCAGCTGGTTTAGAAAACCCACAAGTGGGTGAGGCTGGCTAATCAACAGCAGAACTGATTTGAGACAGTGAGAAAAGATGAGCTGGAAGGGCTGTGAAAAGGAAACGAGACAGCTTAGATTGGATGTGCTAGAGAAAAGGGGAGCCTGTGGATGAACACAGTGATGCAACCAAAGCAACAGGGTAGGAGAACAATCTGCACATGTGCATCCCGTATGGCTATAAGCAAGGCAAAGCTGTGAGAAAGGATGCAGGTTTATCAGGACACAGGGTAAGGAAGGCTTCCACCCTGACTGATGGATGGAAAAGGCAGCAGCTGAGCAGCACTGCTCTGAAAAACCAGCAAAGGCTTAGACATTGTTTGGGTGCGAGCACCCAGGGAGACATCTGAAGCAAAGATGAATCCACCTGATGCCCCACCAGCCTGCACCACTTTTGGGGACACTCGGCAGAACAGCGCTACACAAGCTACAGACCCTGAGCAAGGTGATCGCCATCATGAAGATCGCATGCAAACTGTCACGGCTATTTGGATGTTAAACCTAATGGAGACCTTGCCAAGGAGCTGGAAGATTTATTGATTATTTATTTTCTTCTTTCAAGAAGCTCTTAACAAACTCTTACGAGATTAGAACTGGAGACTGCCAAGAGACCCTCGTGATGGACACAGTGAGAAATGCTAGACTGGATTCGGCAAGACAAACTGAAACATGTCCATGAATTCTCCGTGAGGAGTGATAGCCAGACCTCCAGGCACAATTATTTTCCCTCGCTTCCTGCATTTCATGTTATTCCTCCAACAAAAGCTGCTTGGCAATAGGGATTACAAGGCTTTTTGGAGACACTCACAGATGACTTATAAGTGGCTTGCTTGCTTCCCAGCCAGGAGACAAGCACTGCGCTCACCAGATGAATTGCTCAGGAGACAGAATCACTCCAAAGTGAGTCACGCACCCCCAGAATGCATGGCACCGTCCCCAAGAGCTGGCTCCCTGCTATGGCACAGCTTTCCTCTTCAGCCTTAGGTAACGACTCACCTTCCTTCTGAGCTCCTCCATGGAAATCCTGATGGCTCTCTGCCCTCCTGGCATGAAGATGGGGAGATTAACCATGTAAGAAGAGGCTCTGTCCTCCTGCACAAATTATCCAGAGTGATCCACACAAAAAAAGCTATCAGCAAGCATTTAAGGCATCCTCACAGCTAGGAAGGTGATGTCTCAAATGATGCTGTTAAGGACAACAAAACCAAATGCATTTTACTTATCTCAGCAACACACACTCTACAAATGCCCCAAATGCACTGAAAATGATAGGGAAAAACGCTCAATCGCCACCGAAATGCATTCTGGCCTGGGGGAAAGCAGAGCAGGACAATAAATACTGCGGTTCAAGGGGGAGTCAAGAACTCACAAAAGTATTTCACTGGTAGTAAAGGAAGAAAAGGCAAAGCTTTTGTAGCCAAATTGAAGCTGGCTGAGATGGCAGCCTTTGTAGAAAGTGCTCTTCCTTGAAAAATACAAAATATATGAAAGAGTGCCTTGCCTGAAAGACTTCCCGCACTTCTTTGTGATTTCCAAATCAATTTAGGATAGATCATAAAGGGTAGCTAGATCCAGCAAAGAAGAAGACGGGCCATGTCTGTAAGCACAGAACACAGGGATATTCTGTGGGGCTTTGTGGATGATCGATTCTCTGCTGCACGCTACGTGCCACAAAATGTATTCATTTCACAAATCTTAGACCTGTCAAAGGAAGCATAATGCTACAGACTGGCATGTTCTGCAAAGAGAGCTGGAGAGACAGAGGAAGTCGTTGGAGACCATATTCCTGTAACAGCAAGGAGCTCTGAAGCAAAAATATAGGATGATTGTTGGAATTAGGCAGCTTCACAGAAGATGAATGAGTAAACTCCTAGTGATTCTGGTCAGATTGACCTGAGGAAAGAAGGAAAGACTCCTTCTTCAGGTACCTATAGGTACTTGAGAGACTTCCTAATACAGCACAAAGAGCATCAGCACCACCACTCCCAGCTATTGCCAGTTCATTCAATACTGCCTGAATCACTCTTAAATCCATTCAAGTCCAAACCTGAGGAGGCTGCACCAAGGAAAGGGTTAACATTGACTCCAGCCTTCCTCCAGAACAGCACAGCCCTGGGTGGTCCCATAGCTCCTTGGCCAGGCCACACACACTGGGTGGATGTTGAAGTGCTCCTGTGAGTTCTGGCTTTCTAGGGGGCTGCAGCTTTAATCACATTAATTGTTAATTAGCAGGTATCCTTGTTTTCCTGCTGATAAGTGTGAGAGCAGGAGGGCAGGTCAGGCAGCAGCTCCCTTGGCTTAGAGGGCAACCTGACGGGGATTAGCTCTGACTTCTGCATATAACTGAATTAGTGCTGCCTCTGTGCAGCCAGGACCCACCTTTCTCCATTGCCCTCAGTATGGTGACCAACACAAAGGATGGGACCAAGGTCTTCACTGTAGCTCAGACTGGGTACTGAGAGCCTATCATCAGCATCTGCTGGTGTCTGACCATGTGCTGGTACCACATCCATCCCAGACACCCACCAACAGCAGCCACTTCACTCACTCTCTGGCCTGATTGCATCCCCCTGAGTACCAGGTTTTCAGAAGCCCAAACCCATGCTCCTTGCACAAGACCCCCATTAAAACCCACAGGAACACCAACACATGCAAAAAGAAGACACTTCTCCAAGCCACAGGGGAGAGGGGTGCATCACTCCATACACTGAGAGACAATGCCGAAGCCCTGGGCTTATCCCAGAATCATAGAATAGATAGGGTTGGAAAGGACCTTAAGATCATCTAGTTCCAACCTCCCTGCCATGGGCAGGGACACCTCCCACTAAACCATATCACCCAAGGCCTCGTCCAACCTGGTCTTGAACACTGCCAGGGATGGAGCATTCACAACCTCCCTGGGCAACCCATTCCAGTGCCTCACCACCCTAACAGGAAAGAATTTCCTCCTTATATCCAAGCTAAACTTCCCCTGTTTCAGTTTTAACCTGTTACCCCTTGTCCTATCACTACAGTCCCTAATGAAGAGTCCCTCTCCAGCATCCCTATAGGCCCCCTTCAGATACTGGAAGGCTGCTATGAGGTCTCCACGCAGCCTTCTCTTCTCCAGGCTGAACAGCCCCAACTTCCTCAGCCTGTCTTCATAATCCCTGCATCCCCTTCAACCAGGCTCCAACACTGCTCTGTGGATGCACAGGGACAACCACAGTGCCAGTTGGACCACAAGGCTGTGCCACAGAGGGACCAGGAAGATGCCATGAGTTGGAAGATAAGCAGCAGAGCTTATTGAGGCATCCTCCTCCTCTCCTGCAGGAAAGCGATGCCCAAACCTTGCCAATCCCTCCACAAAGCTTCCTACGGGAAGTTTCTGGCACTGGGAATGGTTGCCAGCACAGGATTAGCAGCCTGTTGATTTAAAGGGCTTATTACAGGAGCTTAATTCTATTTTGACAGATGAAAGTAAGTCAATTACAGCTAGAAATAGCTCAGAATTTGGGTTGTGGGATTTTTTCTTTCACTTCCTCTCCTCCCTTTCACAGAGTTGTGATATCATTTACTTCCCTTCCCTTACCTCAAAGCCAGCATTTTCTCTAAAATGCCTCTCCAGCCCAGGGAAGCCTCAAACACAGGCACTTGGGGCAGACACAGTTCATTCTTTCTCCCATTACTGCTGCCCGTGATGCACTGTGGTATCAGAAACTTCCTTCCTCCCAGCCTGTCTGCAGAGCTGCCCTTCACATCCCTTCCCTGGAGCACCCCTTTAGGCTTGCTTCTGCAGGAAATGACCCCCAAATCTGTCCCTGCCCACCCCTTGTACTTACACATAACCTGAACTGAGACAGACCAACAACCAGCATGGACCAACGGACCAGAAGAGATCAGGTTCAGAGATGTGTGGGGTTAGAAGTGCTCAAAACGATCAAGAAACATTAATGCTGAAACCTAGAGGTGAGAACATCAGCTATGTGAGGGAATTCCCATCCTGGGAGATCAACAGGGTTAGTGAGGATCAACAAGAACACCTACTGCCACTCCAGCATAAGCCACCGCCAGCCTGGACTCTCTAAATGAATCATGACTCTCCTTAGAGAAATAAAGCAAGAAAGCAACAGCCTACCCCATCCTGAAGCCACTTACATGGAATTCTCACCTATGGGGCTCCCTTTTTTATAACCTGCCCATCCCCACCGTAACCTGTGTGTCCCACACACCTGAAGTTATAAGGAGAGAGCAGAAAGACCCATTCCTTCCCTCCCAGTAAGTCCCTTCACCACCACCTGGCCCTATTTACCTAATCAAGAGGACCAGACCATATCAATCCCCTCCTTGGCTTGGCTGGTCATTTAAGATGAGCAGTGCAATTAGCACCATCACAGAGGCTACTCATGAACAGCCCTGCCACTGCTCTGAGTTCCCTGACCTCACTCAAGCACAAGGTGCCAAACCTCATCCCTAGCTTGGCACACACATTTCTCCAAGGAAAGCTCTAAATGGGGAGTTATCATGGTGACACCCAGGAAAACATTGCAAGACTTAGGCACGCTATATTACATGACTAAAAGCCCTCACACTCAAAGAGCAGAGCGGGGAGCCCCTGCTTGTGAGGTGGTCCTTAGCTCTCATCTAGGGACCAGCCACTGCCTATGGAGTTCTCACAGGTCTGGAGGAAGAAATAGCTCCAGCAGAGCTCAATGGATCGCTCTCCAGCTCAGGAAGCTCATGAAATCCTGGCTCTGAGCACACCAGAAACACTCTCACCCTCGGACAGCGTGCAGCAGGCGCAGCGAGGGGTAGGCAGTCCTGACGTTGATGTGATGCTTCAGGATGAGCTCGTTCACCCACTCCACTCGCTCCTTGCCCCCCTTAGCCATGAACGCCGGGATCCAGAGGATGCTGCCGTTGAGGCTGTGGAGGCGTTGGAGCAGCTTCTCCCTCCAAGTCTCATTCACCAGGTCCTCGAAGGCGCGTTGGATGACCGAGGGGTTCATAGTCACCAGGTCTGTCTTCATGCCCACGTCCTGTGAGTACTCCTGGACAGGGGCCAGATTGCACCTGCGAGGAGAAACACCAAAGAGCCCTTTGCAATGGATGTGACAAACAATGGCAGTGACAAACATGAGGGGCACTTGCCAAAAGCCAGGACCAGATGTGCCCATTTGCCCTTGCTTTGGGGAGAAGGAGGAGGGAGAATGAATCTCTGCAATAAACAGAGGCTCTGACCCGGTAATGATGAGCCATCTTAGCATCAGGTCATCATTCCTCAGCACGATGGCGTGTGCATGCATATTCCTCTGGGGCAATGCTAATAACAGACATAACTCTGGTGTCTGGTGGGTGGCTTTGTACGGATCGCTATCTCTTCTGGTGCGGTTCAGAAATAACACGTAGCAACAAACCTCCCATCTTTGCTGCCATGGCAGGTTTGCAGTGAAACGGCCTTTCCCACGCAAAGAAAGAGCTTGCCTCTTACGTCTACCCTGCTAGGGTAATATTACCCTAAATCTCTTTTCTCCTCCTGGTGCGTCTCTGCTAACAGCAGACGTAGTGGCACCAGCAGTGATAACGACACCAGCAGGAGGTGGATGCCAGGACATGGTCTCCACAGGGTTTGGCTGTCTGGAGGCTGTGACCTTCAAACCCCATCTCTGTCTGTGGGATTAACTCTGCCTCCTCCCGGGCTGTGCACGCAGGGACGGGCACACATGCTTCTCCAGGAGCTCCTGTGCCACCGGCTCCTGAGTCACACCAAGGATGTGGGATAAACTGCCAACAAATCACCCTTGTTATAAGGTGCTTTCCTACAGCTCCTTCAGGAGGGATCTGTTGCCACTAAGCTGTGTCATGCACGTGGCACTGGGTAAATGGCACCAGGTAAATGGCACCAGGGACCAGCTAATGGGGAGATGCAGAGAGATGCTCCTTCAGTGTGGTAAAACCAGAGGGTAGATGTGTGTTTGCACACTGCATGTTCTCCTGCGGCGTTTTATAGAGAAGTTACAGTATTTAACGAGCAGGAATTGCATCCTAACCATCTGTGTCGATAATCAGCCATTACTACTGTTTTCTCTGCTTTACAGATGGAGAAACTAAGGGAACGGTGTAAAGAAAATCCAGCTATTGGCACATAGAGCCCTTCTGGTCCACTCATCACAGGAGTAAAATCACTGAAAATGAACACTGAATTGAAGAGCTGTATCTTGGACACAGAGCCCATCACTGGTCACTGTCAGCCCTGCTGAAAAGGCTGCCTGGATGGATCAGGAAGATGAGGTCCAAGTGGTGGCTCAGATAACCTATGGTGGGAAGAGCACGACCATGCCAGCGCTGCACTAGCTGGGCAGAAGTTGCTCAAAATCCCAATCCTTACACCCAAAAGAGCTTTTCTCCTGCAGCTTTGCTGCCTGACATGAAAGCCTCTCCCTAAACTTTGCAAGAACTGCAATAAGCAATTTTCCCCTTTTCTCACTCTGATTACACTAAAGGATGTGAACGATAACACCTTGTCCCCTATGCACAGGATGGAAACTGCTAGCAGCCAGGCAGGCTGGAGCAGCCAGATTTGAGCAGGGGGCAGAGGTGACATTATTCTCATTCTCATGTCACACTGGGGACCACCTCTGTGAGCCGCTGATGGATTGGGCTGTCTTCATAATAGACTCACCAGAAAGCAAATGTCTGCACGTACATAAATCATCAGCAGGCTGCTCTAGCCCCTCAGCTAGCAGACGTACACAGGTGTCAGGGATAGGAGGGCAGGCATGCTCCTCCTCTCTGCTTCAAGCATCTTCTGTAACCGATCCAGTGTTTGTCCCATTGGGGATCAGGATCTGTTGCGGCTGGTACGTGGGGCAGCCCATCTGAATGGACATCAGTGCTGGGGATGGAGTGGTGACAGGGGAGCATCAGAGCTGGGTGTGCACAAGTGTGGTGGCAGGGCTTTGTGTGGTGCACCCAGTGCTTGAAGGCAGAAGTGGTTTGGGGAAAAATTGAGCTTGTCTCCATGGGAGAGTCCAGGGCAGGGGTTGTTTGCAAGAGGGCAAGCATGTGGGAAGAGGGAGTGCTTGGGACTGGGGGTGATGAGGGTTAATGGTGACCTGGGGGGTTAATGGTGTACCATGAGAAGACATGGGGTGGGTTTGCAAGAACACTGGGTGAGCATTTAGTGGTGGATGGAAGAGCTTGCAGCACGGTGTTTGCATACACATGATGCTCATGGGGCTGCAGGGCTGCACAGCACCATGCCACCAGGACTCCAGTCACTGCTCCAACCCCACCCGAGACCCTCTCAGCCCCACCGTGCTATGTCCTTACCTTATCACGAAGCTGTGCGCATCAATCTCGGGCCCACAGCGGCTGCTGAGCAGGACCCCTGAGTTGCCCACGATGGCGCAGGTGGGGAACTGCTTGCCCTTGAGGGGCGAGGTGCGGGGCAGCAGCTCGTACAGGTTCTGCGAGACGTTCATGGTGCTGTCCCTGTCAAACACGTAGTGGATGATGTCGCCCGGCTTCAGCGTCCCCTTCAGCACCGAAATGTCCTTCTCTGCATCTAAGAACTTCAAGATCTGTTTCCTGAGGACAGGGAAGAAAACGGCCCCATCAGATAAGGTACAGAGGTCATACATGAGATGAACTTTTGCCTCCCGGCTGCTCTGTGGCCAGTCCATCTGACAGATGCTCCCCAGGAATAGCTTACAAATGAGTATTGCCATCTCAACCCCTGCTCCTTCTCCACCCATCCCTTCCCAGCACAGACTAGCATCAGCCCAACATTAGTGGAGGGTGCCTGCATTTACCCCAGGAAGAAAGTCTCCTCTCCTCCATGACCCATTGAGAGCACATGCTGCTCCCACTTGACCTGGAAAACGGGCGCTCAAGTTCTCCTTATGCTGCTGTTGTGAGGCCAGCTGGTTCAGCTGGGAATTCATTTTCAAGTGATCGCTTACAGATATGAAGCCTAGCTCAGCAGGAGATAACCCTTTTATTTCTTCCTTGACTTCTTTAGATGATATACAGAGGCAATTTGCCAGCTTGCACTAGAGAGGACCAAATCTGTCTCTTGTCCTATAGGTAATTACCAGTACCTGATCTTCAAAGAGAGTGTCTGGTTGTGTCTCCATTTGGATGAGGCTGGTTTAATGTTGTGCTTAATGCTTTCATTACTTCTGTCAACAACAGCTGGAGACGAAGAGTCATTTATTACTACTTCAGCTCTAGAGAACAAGAAAGATGGGGAGAGGGAGAGAGGCAGGATCCGTTAGCATCCCAATGGCACTTCTAATCACTGTCTTCAGCTCTGGCTGCTGGTATTCAAACTTCATCAGAAAAGCAAAATTGTAGTTATTAGCTAAACAAGAACTGAAAGCCTGTTTGTATTCTGCTACACTCAAGCAGGCACAAATCCTTAAATACCTGCTCGCTTACGCGAACACAGACTTACAGCCAGGCACAGCAATATAGAAATCTTACACATGTAACTGTAGAGAGGCATGCACACACAAACATGAGCAGGCTCTGCTAAGACAGGCTGGCAGATGGACACTCACAGACAGGACACCGCAGAGCCCTGGGGAGCCCCCGAATTCACCAAGACATTTCCTACACGGACCCTATTGCCTCGTGGTCGCACGTGAGCACCCTGAATTGGAGCCAGCTCAGCTCCTGGAGAGGGTTAAAATCCTCATCAGAGAAGTGCAATCTTCACCCAAAGGAGAGATTAATTTAGCTGAGCTGCTGGGTGCTGCTTGTGAGTCTGGGCTATGAGCATCCAATACTGAACAGGGAGAAGCTGGCTTGCTGGTAACTTTTCCCTTGTTAGAATGAGGATTTCAGCATCCCTATTCCTGCTCCAGGGCCAGAAATGAGCAGGGGGACAGGCAACAACTAGGTGGTTTGGAGATGGTCACCGGTCACCCCCCAGCTTTTAAACCCTGCTCTAAGGAGCAAACCAGCCCCAGCACTTCAGTGCTGCTTACATCAAATGGCATGAATTAAGGGAGTCTCCGAATACTTGATGCCAGCCAGCCACTCTCCAAAGAGAATACCCAAGCATCTCATCAGAAGGCTGCGCGTGTATCTGCAGCCCTAAAAAACCCTTCACACTTCAGAGCACTCTGAAAAACATACAGGCAGAGCACTCACTATTAGCTAAAGAGAATCTCCCTCTCCGATGCAAAGGGCTTCTTCCAGCTGGGAAATGGTTTGTAAATACATACATATAAAAAAGCATGTAAACCCCAAGGAGGGAGAAGAGTAAGAGAGATGGAGCAGAGCTGGTGGCCCAGGCAAGGAGCTCCCATGGACACACTGTAGTGTTTTGGAAAGGCAAGGAAATGTGTTTATAAAAGCTGGCTGCCACTGTCCTTGTTTGTGTTTGTACAGTACCTGCCAGTCGAGGTTGTTGGCTTTGTATCCATTGTGTATTCTGCTGTATTACCTTGTGTCTTGCAGAGCTTATAAAAAGGTGTCAAAAATCATAAAGGAAACATGGTAAAGAAATCTTGGGAATAACTAAGATTTTTGTTGGTTTTGCCCATGTTCTGTGTTTTGATCACCGGTGGTGGCATCATCACAGAATGAGCTCACCCCTTCTCACATGGCATCACTAAGCTGTGCAACTGGGCCGCTTGATAATGCTGGGCTGATGTGAAATCATTGTGAAAATCACACTGAGAGACTCTGAATGAAGCTGTGATGCCATGAACTGACTGCAATGGAGCAATGTTACTGAAGTGCTTTACTATAAAGCCGAATGAAGTTCCAATGTCAAAGACAGCAGTTTCTCTTCTAACATCACTTAGTAAACCTATGAAAATGGCAACTCCAACGCTGACTTATTTTCACAATAAGTAACTCTCCGTTCCTCATTCTCTCAATCACCACAACTTGCAGATCCTTGGTTATTTGCAAATGATTATTGCACTGAGATGGAGGAAGGAGGGGGAGAAACGATTAAGAAAATGCAAAGCAGAAGTGAAAAGAAACAGATACATTTGCTAAATAAGAACAGCACTATCCAGTGAAGAGGAGAAGCAGATTAATAGCTGCCTTACAGCAAAAACAAATGAACACAAAATCTAATTTACAAACCTATTAGATTTGCTATGTAAGCTGTTCACAGCTGATCTGATTGTACCTCTGCCTCCAGAACTCCTGCAAGACAAAGGAAATGCATTATTTATAAACCCAGCACCTCTTTGGCAAGCATTGTTCAACAGTCAAGAGATCCTGCTCTGAAGGGCTCTGAACGGAGACACTGCTGAGCCAACCTTATCCCATTCCATCCAGGAGGGACGAGTCCTCATGCCTCTGAAGGGCTTTTCACATCCATCGTCATTGCTGCCCTGCTGTGACTGTAAAACCATTCCCACAAAAAAGCTCCTAACCACCCCAATTAATAATACTTGTGCAATCCAATCAGCCATCAAAGACATCTGGTCTCTGTCGTCAAAGCAGCATGCAGCCTACAGGTTGCATTAAATACATCTCTACTTTTTTTATTACGAGTCAGGTGTCAGCGGTGCATTGAGGTCTCCTCTATCCCCAGGTTGCCAAGGGACCTTCCCTATCCTTTTCAAACGGGGACTGAGCTGAATGATCTGGACCAGATTCCCACCACTGTTCTTGGGTTTTCAGCTGAGACCACCCAACATCTCCACTGTACCCAGACCAAGCCACCAGCCCCCTGGCTCACCTCATCCTCACAGTGCGCCATCTCCCAGCTCCCACTGACCCAGACCAGACCCAGAGTCCCATTCCAGCCTGCTCCAACTCCTGAGTGCCCTGAAGCTCCTTGTCCCCACCTTTGTGTGTGGTGTTACCCGGCTGAAGCTACGTGGCCAATTCACCAGTCATTCACACGCTGGAGCTGAGATCTGAAGTGACATCCTTGTCACTCCCATGGCTTAACACTACTGCATGAGGACAGGTACCAGACCTGCCTGAGCAAGACCTAAGGGAACAGACAGCCAAACTTTCCAGCACCTGTATAGTGCTATAATGAATAATAGGTGTGACCAAGACCCTTCAGAAGCCAGCACCACTCATACAGCCTGTGAATCCTCACTTAAACACATACAAGTATTGGTCTGCATCTACTTGGCTGCAGAGCCCCTTCTTGCTTTAACTTGCTGTTTTCCAAAGGGTGACAAAGAACAAGTCACCCATTTTCTGATGCTCAGTGAGACCTGGGCTCCTAGTCAGACACATTTTAACTGCCACGTGCTCATAGCTCTGTCTTATTGTTTCCATTGCACAGATATCCAAATGAACATGCTCATAAAGAGAACCAAATTTTCTTCCAGCAGAAATACTGCTACCTGGAAATATATACCTTAATGAAAATGTATCTCAGGAGCATGTATTTCTACCAGTCCTGAAAAAAATCCCAACTGCATTAGACATAAATGAAAAAGAAATAGAGTGTGTGAACGTTTGGTGCCATCAGACTCAGGGAATGAAAAGTAAATCCCTTTGTTAGGCTGAGCACAGCCCTCAGCACCACCTAACATCAAACCTTTGGGACAACAATGGTTGTGCCTTTCCTCCCTCCTGCTGGGGACCATCTACGGTCAAGTCAGAGTGATTCTTGCTCCAACACTCTTCTCTTTCCTTTGGCAAACCTGAGAGTCGGTGAGCTGCCTCATTTTTTGGTGCATCAAGGGAACAGCAGGACTACCTTATTCCTAGAGCCTACTGGCATTTAACAACCTCTGCTTTAATGGGGTTCACGGCAGGGTGTGGAAGCAGACTGGATTAATGTGCAAACCATGCACGCTTTCTGAGACGTCTCCTCTGAAGGAGCCTTCCAAATGGGATTCACACTCCTTCACACTTGCCATACGACAGATAGGGACTGGATTAAGGGCTTAGAAAAAGAAATGCTGCTCCCTGAATAAGTGCTGGTTCACAGTCTCTGTGAAAAGGAAAAAAAATCACAGAAATCAGAAAGTAGAGAGGACCTGTTAGCTCCCACCTCATCCCTGTTTTGTGGCTATGGCAAGCCTGATCCGAAGCATCACATCGTATTATTCAAATGCATTTATCCAATCTAGCTTTACATGCCGCCAGCGACAGGTCTGTGCATGTCTCCTCCTGAAATTAAGGCAGGCATCGATGCTGGACATGAGGAATGCAGGTTGAGAGCACATCTCCCTGCTCACTGTGTGCAGCGGTGGTGGGAAAGGGGATTTCGCTGCTGAGCAGCCCCTCAAGGGCAGTTTCTTTCCCCCTCACACACTGCGAAAAGCAAAAGTTTTCAACATAGTGTAATGCCAACAGAGCATGATTTCTGCTGTCACATGTGAACATGGGGGAGAGAGCAGGGCTTCGCTGCTGGCCACCTTCCCATGACTTGCTCCACGGCACTGGGCTCACTGCTTTCTGGCTGGCAGCAGCCAGGATGTTCTCACCTGAGATGCTGGCAAAGCCACTGCTCGCTGTACCAGGCCTGGTATCTCTCTCAGAGCCATGGATCTTGCCTGAAGCTGGGATATGATACTCGGCTGAAGGTCTTAGCTGGCTCAATGAATCCTAAGATGCTCCTGTGGCTTCAAAACCACCAGCCTTTTGGCCCTTTGTATCCTACACTGCAAGTTCTGAATATCTTCCTTACAATCTCCCTTTGTACAGGTGAAAACAATGTGCACTGTGAATCACAGAATGGTTTGGGTTAGAAAGGACCTTAAGATCATCGAATTCAAACCCCTTGACATGAGCAGGGATGCCTCACACTATCAGACCATGGGGTGTATTGCCCTGTGTAGCACCCTGTTGAGCTCAGCTCATCAGTGGGTACCAGCCTGGCAAACCAGCCACTCAAAACACCCATCGTTTAGCCAAGCATGGTATTTCCCAAGCTCTACCATACTTCATTACCAACACAGCAAGTCAGTATCATCGTACTGCTTTGTTCCTCTCACCTGGGAAGAGGAGAACATTAAGAAATGGAGGGCACTAATTAGAAGGCACACGTTTAGCAAAAAACCTCAGCCCATTTTATTATCCCTTGCTGACCTGGAGTTTCGAATCTCTTGGCTTCAAAAGGCAAAGAACAACCTCGATTAAAATTGCACAGATAGGCATTGATTTTGAAAAGCTTTCTAGTGCTACATGGTGTTTAGATTGAATTGCTTTATTAATCTGGTTGTTATCAGTTTGATTGTATAGCCAGCTCCACAAAGTACCAACCTGCTTCCTAATCCTATTATTTACAAAACACACTCTTTTTTTGACTTCTGTGGGGATGTTTTCCAGTGATAAATCGCATCTATATGTGCTAATGCCATATTACTGGCTTATGCCACCCTTTCTCATTTTTGCTTTGAGATTTTCAAGCTGAATTTCCACTACCTAAGATATTATATAGGTCAAAACATTCTGTGCTCAGATGTAAAGTGACACTGATTCATATATCAGAGGATAAAAAAAGAAGAATTTTCTTATGGTTCAGGTCCAAATTTTCTTGGCTGAATAATTTCTGACAAATCAGATACGTGAAGACTTTTCTATTCACCCACTATGAATGGGCTGTTTGGGGATTTTTGCATCCCCTTTCATAATCTCTCACTTCTTAAATGATTCTCTTAATTATTGCTAGGTACGGTTCGGTCTTGCTTCCAGCAATTTCGATATGTGAAATCAAAGCTGCTTTGACTGAACAAGTAGGTCACGCAGCCTCTTTGGGTGAGTGGATCTCTAAGAACAGGCTTTATGCATCCACATCGTCGGGCTTACAAATTCCAAGACGTTTTTTCCATGGATATTTTACAATGCCCACCTCTGAGTCCTGCTTCCTCCAGCATCTGTTGCAGACAATACACATGGGAAGCGGTCATGAGAAGTAAGAGCTAGCCAGAAATTTCATCCATACCTAACCACCCATTTAGTCACACTTGTGGAGCTCATTCCCAGTGGAACAAAACCTCTGCCTCTTCCTGACCTTGGGCAACCCAAGTCCTCCTCTTCTCCCTTCTCCACATGAAAGAGAGATAATGATCCCTTGGATAAATTCTGCTTAGCAATCCCCCATCTGAATTCCACAGAAAGAGAGTTCAGAGTGCCGCAGATTTTATCTTGAGGGGTTCACATGATTAACACACACTAATTAAGTTTTCACAACCTGCTTTTGTGTTAGGTACATTTTATGACCCTTGTTTTACAGCTGGGACACTGCGGGGGGAAGTGGCTTGGCCCATAACACCAAGAAATGCCAGTCCCACAAGCCAGGACAGGAGCACTACTATGGGCTTAACAGCACACCAGCCCTCTTGAAAATGCTGCTCTTTACTTGCTGAGAGTGAGTATGGCTCCTGCAGGGTGAGAGGGTAGGATATGTAACCCAGTAGACCACAGGAATCAATCTATAAAGGTCTCACTGGCCTGAAAAGCACACGCAGCCATTGGTCCCCTGAAATGGCTGCAGGAGGTACCCATAAAGCAGTCTGTATCTATTTAAAAAAGAAACCACCACCTATCTTTACTTTGCTTTTTAAGGATTGCTCTGATGTTGTTCTCAAGGCCAGAATTGCTATTTTCTATCTGAAGGGCACATAAGCCTGCTTGGGCACTACCCTCTCAAAATCACTGCTCTCCCTCCCCTTCCCAAGGCATCTGTGTGAGGAGGGGATGTGGAGCAGGCTGCGGAACAGGCTGCTCACAGCCCCTCCGCAGGATGCTGCTTCACGGCCAGGCAGACCCAGTCACTGTAACTGGGGAAAGGGACACACTGCCCAGCCACTGAAAAAGAAATACAAACACAGAGATCACCCCCCTCCTCCCAAACTTGATAGACTCACCGCTGCAGACACTCACAGTCACATATAATCCCATGTGCATTCACGGGCATAAGCCAGACCTTGCAATGTCAGGGACTAGCTGGCACCTGCACAGCGCCTCGCTGGAGATGGGCTTGGATGCACCGACTGCCCTGTTGAGTGAGTGGATTAATCCTGCTGACTAAGAGCAGTGCAGTCATTAAGCTAAGCCATGGCCCCCCTGAGTCCTCAAAGATGGGGCAGGATTCCCTCCGGCCAGAGCTATGACATGGATCAGGGTACAGGTTTCAACTCTCCCTCCTCTTCCCTGAAATTCAGGGTTTGTGTTGAGACCAGCAGAGCAGCAGATGTGATTTCAGTTGTCTGTGAAAGAGAAAT